ATCAATTTCACTTCCACAACCTCATTCAACTACTTACACACATGACGTCAGTTGGCGACAACTTCCTAAACATAAGTGTATAGACCCATTATTATCGTCATCAAACCATCAACAGCAACAGACACATATTGTCCATCAAACATGTTCAAATACAATAAATATACCACAAAGAAATGAAACAAATGTATCATCTTCGAAATCACTAACACAAAAACGTACAACAATGCCTGTCCCTACAAATACACATGGAAGTGTTAAAACTGTAAAAAGTCGTTTAGAAAAAATGAAAGATCAAAAAGCTGCTAAAACTTTAAGGTAAATAAAATTACTTTTTTTCTTTTTCGTTTAATTTAAAAATTTTATATTATTATTATTTTTTTCTTCTAGTGCTATTTTAATTGCTTTCATTGTTACATGGCTTCCTTATAATACAAATATAGTCATATCAACTATAAAACCAGATATATTTAAACATGGATTTCCAATGTATTGGGAACGTTTTGGTTATATGTTATGTTATATTAATTCAACGATTAAGTATGTATTTTGAAAGAATGTTTTTTTTTTTTTATGAAAATTTTTATTTTTAGCCCAATGCTGTATGCCTTATGTAATGGAACATTTCGACGAACATTTGCTCGTATACTTCGTTGTCAATGGCATCGACGTCATACACCCACATATGTACATAAGGCTTATCGGTTTCAAGCAAAAAAAAATCTTACTACGAATAATAATATTTAATCATTTTTTGTATATAAAAATTGTTAATTTCTTTTTTTTTTTTGTCAAAAAAAAAAGAATCTTATTAATAGATTGGTTTTAGACCAAACTTCTTTTTCTTTTTTTTTTGTTTTGTTGTTTTTTATTTATATTCATTTTGAATATCTAATGAAGAATTTAAACTTATATCAGAAGTATTTGTACTATTTAAAAATAGACGAAATGTTGAAAGAAATGAATCACAAGAATGAACAAGTGGAATCATAGCTCGACTATCTTCAAATAATGATTGAGATGTTTGTTTAAAAAAAACATTAATCATTGCACGAATTTGATGTAAACGAATAGCTACTTGTTCACCAATAGGTTTTGATATTAATTCTTGTTGAATATAAATTAATTCTTCATCAAGTACACATATAGCACGTATTTTAAGCATTCGATCTTGAATATTTTCATTTATCGATATACTTAAATCATCAAGTAAAATTTCACTAAAAGACAAATAATTTGAAAATATAAACATAATCCTAGTTAAATTATTTGAATACAAACCGACTATTAATTAAAGCTCGATGTCGACGGTTAAAATAGATTCTTTTCATTGATTCATCAAGTTTCTTTATATATATATGTAAATAAAATCGATTATCGTAAAACAAAGAAACTTAATACATACATCATTAGTATTCGATGACTTTTCACATTTTAATTCAAGTTTAAAATGATCACCTGTTTCATTTGAAAATGATGTATGAATATTAACAAGATCACAAATACATTCAATAAGTGATACATCAAGTAATTCTAAATCTTCTTGAAAATAATTCTACCAAAGATAAAAGCAGTTTTCTTTTTTTTTATAGAATTTTAAAAATCTCGTTTATTTTTTTGGTTTTTTAATTTCTCACTTGTGCATCAGAATACCATACAATATTAAAATTTTGTTTTAAATACTAAACAAGATTATTACAAAAAAAAAAAAGTAAAACAACAAAGGATTGATCAATCAAAATAGATTTCTATACTTGACGAAAACGTTGTCGTAAATTGATAACATATTTTATCTGTTCTTCACATTTAATTCTTTGCCATTGATGTCCATTCATTGACATTTTAATATCTGAAGAAAAACGTAACAAGCTCTATTTCTTTTTTTTTTTCATAATGTTAAATTTTAAAATAAAGAAGAAAAAAATGCCTAGATTAATATCTGTTCGAGATTCGTAACAAAATGAAAACCATGAAATCACGAAAGACTACGCTTTATCTGATTATTTTCAAGATAATAATAAATGTTATTTATTTTGTTGATAAAGATAAACGTTGAGCTAATGGTGTTAAATTATGAATAAATTCATCTGAATTATCATAGAGTTCAATTAATTCATTATCAGATATTTCATTTGGTGTTTTAAGAAGATAATCAAGAGTAAAATCAATCATTGAACGTATCTTTTGAAGACGTAAAGCTACTTGCTCATGAACTGGTACTACAAATACAAAGAAAACAATAGAATAGTATATCAAAAAACAGAAAAAAAATCTTATTTATCAACTTTTTGGTGAAGGAGATGCTTCTTGTTCATGATTGATATATTTTAAATGTTCATCAATAACACAAATTTCACGTAATAATGAACCACGTTTTTCAAAACTTGCATTTTGTAACATTTTAAATAAAACATCTCTAAAATCATACAAATCAATATAACGATGATTTAAATGGTCAGTAAAATAAATGCACTGATCAGTAAAATAAATGAATAAATTAAATTAAATGGTAAGTATAAAAAATCGAAACGTGTTATAGTGTGATTCATAAGTTAGCATCAATATTAGATTGTTTTAAATTATTTTGTCAATGAATGGCTCAAATAAAATGATGGTTTGTATGAAGATATATGATTGTATATGTCACGTACAAACAACGCCTTAGAGGATATCATATTTTATACAATAGTTTCAAATATACTCAATAATTGGTCAATTGAACCAGTTCTTTCTCAATTAACACGAAAATAATCGCTACAGAATCAACAACATAGTTACAATTTGTATTTCCAATAATTTTTTTTCTAAAAAACATATTATATACCAGCTCGTGATTTATAATTGATTCAAAAGTATCAAATGATATTTGATGTATGGAAATGGAAATGATGTCGATTGGTAAAACTTAAAATGCAACAGTCCAGCTGTTTTTTTTTTAAGAATTGTATATGCAAACACGTTGTTAGTATGGCTGTGTTCATTTGAAATGTTGCAAGCCATCACCAGTAGCAAAAACAGTGCTGATCGGTGAAAAAAGAAAAAGAGATAGAATAGAAATGGCTAAACCTGCTTGGCTAGTACAATAATTGAATTTTCATTCATTCTTTGAATTTCTTTCTTATATAATCTGTAGTTTTTCTATTTATTTTTCATGTACTAAATTAATCGTTATACGACCGATCATCATAGATGATGAAGCCACAAGACCTGAGTAGGCTGTCAAATGTAAAAATTTTCTATTACTGTTTAATTTTTATTTTTTTCTAACAGATGACACGTTGTTACAAAGCCACGTCACATTCTATCTTTTAAATACACAAAAAATTGCCAGAACTATGTTTTCTGAATACAGTAAATTGTTACCGTTAGATTTGATCATTTCCATAATAACGGCCATCGCTGAACGGTTCTTCCATGTTATGAATCAAATAAAAACATGTTTACATTATACAACGATTCAACAACGATTAAATCATATTATTATTCCTCATATTCATAAAGAAAAAATCAGAATAGAAAAAATTTGTTCGATCATGAATAATTTTATTTCTTCTTAGCCTATTTTGTTTTTAAGCAATATTTCTCTATTAGTTCGTTAGTTCCAGATTTCATTCGAAACAATAAAACATTAGATAGTTATTACACTTATACACAATTAAAATCTAGCACGAAAACCACGTTTCAACCCGCTCTTCGAATTAGTTTGACTGAAAAATCGAGCCTAACCTAAACTGAAATCATTTCACCGTTGCTGCTGATCATTTATATCTTTTTTTTACTGACGATGTCATTTATTTTACTGACCAAAATTTCTATTTCCAATCAATATTTGTTGTTTTTTTTTACCGTCTCAATTTTAAATCCATATATTGCATTGATGTTTGTAATATTTGTTTTTGATCATTATTTAATTCAATAATAAAATCTTCTTCATTTAAATTATCAGGTAAATCAAATTTAATTATATCTGATATATAATCAAGAAATAAATATGGATTTGTTATAGCAAATAAATCCAAATGTATATCACGATTAAAATGCATATAATATACTTTTGGTAACATGCGAAACCAAATACCTTTCGGATGTGAATGAAGTAAAATTTTTATATCATCACGTAAATTTGTTAAAAGACGAATTTGATCATTATTATCAACTAAAATTATATTTATGATTGAAATAAATTTTAAATTGTTTTCTTTTCTTTTTTTTTTGTATACCTACAATCAATATCCTTCGACGTATCCATCATATCAATAATATCTGACAAATAAACAAAAACAAAAAAGTAATTCCCATAACCTTCTAAATTTAAATTAAATAGATTTCAATATATTTTATTTCTGAACAAAGAAAAAGAAACAAATCAGTAAGAACAATAGGAAAAGAATTAATTAAACATGTAAGTTTTCTTCAAGAAATGCTGTTAATGTATCTGTATCCCATTTTTCAATACCTAATGATTGTATTTCTTCATCTTTATCATTATATAAATGAAGAATAGGTTCAGCGCCAACAACATGTTTAAAACTAAATGTTGGAAATCGTTGTAGACGTTTACTTTTAATAAAAGCTTCGATTTGTGGATATCGTCCAAATTTACATGTACATAGGGTAAGAATAGCTCGATGATATTTCTAAATAAAATTTTTCAAAAGAAATTAAATTTTTATTAAAATTCTTCTTTATAATTCTTACTATTGTTTTATCTTCTGCATTATCAGTATGAGTACAACATTCTTGACATGTATTTTCTAATTCATTTAATTTAAATTGTTTTAAATCATGACAATTTGAACAGAGTAAATTATCTGGTGAAAAACCGCGATCAAGACATTGAATTGAAGATAATAAATCTGATGTTACAAAGATCTAAGTCAAATTTTAATTTCAATAATATAAAATCGAAAAATTATTCATACTCACAATACATAATAAAAGTTGACCGAAGAAAATAGTTAAAAGTTTGATGCCATGCATAATAATACGATCTAAAAGAATACAACGATCTTTTAAGAAAATCTAATATATAAAGAAGAAAGTTTGTTTGTTTGTTCTTTATGCATTTGGACTCCGTAGGAGCCAGTGCAACCAAATTTTGCATGAACTCTTCTTTCATCTAGATGAAGATCGAGAGCTATTCCTTTTTCAGAAAGCATGGATCCTCCGCCCAAAAAAGGTTCGTCTGTATATTCAACCAATCCGATTGCAGCATTCATTAGCATAGAGGAACTACTTAACAGCACTCGGTGATCAAACAGAGTACAAGTCACCATAGGCTTTCGAGAGCGGTAAGTCTGAATCTGGGGTCCATTTGCCTGAAATCCTATTGGTTGATTGAAAACCAATAGGAATCGAGCCGCTAAGAAACTAGCTAATGAAAATTGCGTTTTCGTGAAAACAGTCCCGTAGAGGTTTTTAGAGGCGGCAAGTTCGAATCAAAGGTCAATTCACTTCGAAATTCTATTGGTTGACTGCGAACCAATAGGAGTTAAGCAGCTAAGAAACCAGCTAATCTAAATTGGATTTTCGCCGAAACAGTCACCCATGAATTTCTACAGGTGGCGAATTTGAATCCGATGTCCATTCGCCTTGAAATTCTATGAGTTAGCCGAAAACCAATAGCAATAGAGTTTTCTGAGCACTAGAATCAATAAAAATCGAGCTTTTGGAAAGAGGCATCTCACTGGATTATTAGAGGAAAGACATTAGGAATTTGAAGTTTATTGAGCTTCAAATCTTACTGGGCCGCACATGACTCTACTGCGTCACCTGTGTCAAACACAGATCGAGTTTTAAGGAAATTGGTTTCCCGGAGGTTGTCTAAGGCGGGAATTTCGCATAAACAGTTTGTCAGGTTTAAAAGTCTGTGCGTCAGCTACTAGCTCATAGAAATCGACTTCTTACGTTGCTGAAAAAAGGCTTTATTGCACAAAAATCTTTCTGTCTGTCTGTATTTGGAACCAATTAGAATTCAGTATGATTCTCGCAGTACGAAGTAAGATTTATCGTCATAATTCTCTTGATCAATATGGATTGTGAACAGAGGTTCTAGACCGATTAGATGTATCGTTGTGCTTTCTTCTGATCAAAGCGCATTTATTTTGCAAGGTTGTCTACAAATCGGTTTCTCAGCTGGGCTCTTCATTGATAAGGTTTTTCTACATCTCCTCGAGTCCAATGGGTGTTTTACATGTATATATTATGATTGAACTTTCCCGGGCAACACCGGGTACTTCTGCTAGTTATCTATATCATAAACTAACCAACAAATCTATGTAAACTATTAGTATTTTGTTTCCCTGATAAGAACACAAGTGAACATGTAAATGGCATTGAATATATAATTTAAATGGAATAAACTTTCTTCTTAAATAAACTGGTAATATTTTTCGATTTCTATCAATCTAACTTGTTCATTTTGTTTAGTAAATAAATTAAATATTCTATCAACACCACATACATATTATAAACGTTAAATCATAGAAATCAAAATAGATGATCACTTTGAATGAGTACGGATTTTTCAATGTATCATTCTAGATTTTATGAATGTATCCAAAGAATATCACGATGATATTTCTAAAGAAATATTCAAAAATATATAGACAAAAAAAAACAAATTTTCTTTTATTTTCTTTTTAATCACTTTTATTTCTCCTCGATTATGTCTGAACAATATATTCTACACAAATTTGTTGACATGAATTTTACAGATCAGTTTATTTAAATTGTGTTAAATCATACCAACTTGAATATATTTAATTATTTACTACAAAAATCAGATCCGATCATAATCAAAGAATTATTTTCCTTTTTAAAGAATTACTTTGATAGATATGTATAAAATAGCATGCGTTAAAAAAAATCTTTAATGCACATATTATTATCTATAAAACAAAAACAAATTTATTAGATATAATAAAACTGTAACTGATCAGTAAAGCACAAAAAAAAAATTGATCAGAAAACTTAAACGGGGATAAAAAAAAAATTCTTTGAATTTAAACACTCGCCTTTAATTCTACCTCTCATAGACTTTCTAACTTATGTGCAAACCAAATAAGCTAAAACATAGAACTAGT